TTTCAAGCCCTGACGCAACCCCATGAGCCTACGTTGCATTTCAAGCCCTGAATATTGTGGGTTGAGTTTTGGGCAGGGTTTCCTAGGACCCAGCGGTTGGGCATCCTTATCCATATTCAAATTTCTACGGTACAAATAGAATCAAGGGAAAATTGTGAAAAAATACACTATTTTATATTTATTTATGTAAAAATACTTCAATATAAAATATATGTATATAAATATCTTTATGTGTAAATATTTGGTAAAGCGGTACACTTTTGTTAAATTGTAATTTTTTCTCTTATGAAATTGTCATTTTCCTTTATTAATGGGAAACAAATATAGAAGTTATATTAGGGATTCAGTTTCCTAATTTTATGTTATATATTTTTTGAATTTAAATTATATCTTCCTCTTTCATTCAACTAAAGTTATTCAAACATTCATGTCTTCTCTATATTTGTATATTTTTTTGTTTTTTTTGTTTTTTTATAAATCGTAATAAGGAATATATTTTTTCACCTTATACAATATCATTGGTTGTTTTGAGTATTTTTTTCCATGGATATTTTAAATTTAAATTTATATGTGTGATATTCGATGTGTTTATAAATAGAAATGATACATGTCGTATTGACACAGTGGTACATGTCACATTATCACACTGATACAAGTCAATGTCACACTGATATCTATGTCATATTGTTACAAACCAATATCACACTACATACATTGACATGACACATTGCACAATACACATCATGAATAACTAAATTTAATGTAAATAAGATTACATAGTATCACAAACAAACAAAAGAGGGTGGTGAATTGTGTTTGTGGTGGAATTAGAGCTGGGAGGAGGTGATGATAACAGGTAAGGTCTGTTCTGATAATACAGTTGTATATGACCTCATTGGTTCTTTTTTTTTTTTTTGGCAAATGATCGAACACTTGGTGTGCATGTAGTACCAAGCACCAAAAACAAAAAGGTAGTTGAAGGAAAAAAAAAGTATATAAAAAAAATGTTGGGAGAAACAACGTTTTTCTTGAATTATTAACTTCTTTTCCAAAACCTTCAACAAGCTCAATTGTCGTTCTTCACCATAATGTAAGCCTTCTTCTTCATTGATGAAGTTCGATTTAGTCATCACCGTCTATTACATAAATTTTCACTTATTTACAGTGAACCCATCAAAAAACACATAACTTATTCACAGTGATTTTCACTTCTTCTTCAACGATTAACAAGACGTTTTGAAAAGAATGAAAGTTTTTTCATCAATCTTTGAAGAATGGAGGTTTTCCAGTGATATTGAAGGAGTTTATGGGTATCAATTGATATCCCTGATGTTTTGGATGTGTAGGCAAATATTTAGGAATCTATTCCCTTATGCAAAAGGGATAGTTTAGACATTTTGCTATGTATTGTGTATTTTTTTACTGATATTTTTAAATATAGTACTTTTTGTCCTATATTTTCAAAAAAAATTATTGCCCCTGAAATCCCAAGAATCAACTTATGAGTGAGAGTCTTTGAAACTTTTTCTCTCCAAATTCTATTTGTCATAATTTTGAATTATTTAATTGACTTTCTCCGATTAAATTCCAATATTTGGCTTATGTAATCACTTCAAACTTTTTTAATAATTACTACTCATTTGAATTTATTATCATATTTATTAACTACTTTACATTTAAATTTTTATAAAAATATTAATTTAGCGCATTAGTAAGTAAAATTTTAATAATGTTAGGAAGAGATGAGGGTATGGGTGATGGTGGGCTGGAGTGGGGTAAGAATAGGGGTGGTGATGACAAATAATTGGGGTAAGAATAGGGGTGGTGATGACAATAATGATAACAATGAAGAGATATTACAAATTTTGTGCATCACAAGGGGTGACCACTAATACTATATACTAAAAAATCAATTTAGGTGAGAGTTTTGAAAAAAAATTCATCCTCAATCCAATTTTCTCTTAATTTTGAATTTTATAATTAGCCTCCTCCAATTGAATTTCGACATTTGGCCTATGAACCACTCACAACTTTTTAATAGCTATTTCAAATTTGAATTTTCATTATCTTAATTAACTACTTTACATTTGTATTCTTTTCTAATATCTAAACATATTAGTAATTAATTTCTAATAATGTTAGGATGGAGTGGGAGTATAAGTGCAGGTGGGGTGAGAGTAGAGCTGACAGTGACAATAAAATGGTATTACAAATTCTGCAAATCATACGAAGCGACCACTAGTTATATAATAAAAGTATCAATTTTGGAGAGATAGTGTTTGGGAAACTTTCCCTCCCCAAATTCTATTTTCTCCTAAGATTGAATTATTTAGTTGGCTTCTCCAATTGAATTTTGTTGGATCAAAACGGTTTTTTAAGTGTAAAAACTAATTTTTTGGTCGATTTTGAGTTTAAATTAAAATGGGACCTGTTCGTTGTTTCAAGTAAATTTTTGTGGGTTCATATTCCACTCCGTTAGGAGAATAATGCAATATATTTATTTGCTCAAATTGAGTAAGAAATGAATGAGAAAATAGGCTCCAAGACCCTCTTAAAATGTGAAAATAAAGGTTGTACAATGTAGGATTTGACATCAATCTCATATTGGTTGAGGAAAAAATTCTACATGAGCATATAGAAAACCAAATTTGTTCTATGGAATTGGGCCTCAAGGACTACCACAATTTTATGAGCAGAACAAGGGCCTACATGCCTTCTTATAGAAACCCACTTGCAAAATTTATAGTCGGCCAATTAAAAAATAGAGTTTCATTTCGCAAAGCAATGAAAAAAGCTATTGAATTAACTGAACAAGCAGATACAAAAGGAATTCAAGTACAAATTGTAGGGCACATCAATAGAAAAGAAATTGCATGTGTCGAATGGATCAAAGAAAACCATTCGGCCTAAAATTGATTATTGTTCATATTCTACCACATTCGCGCGCGTCGCCCGCCACACATGCCCCTACCGGCTGGGTGTGGGCGTGGTTTAAACCCAAGCTCTATCTTTTTAGAGAAAATTGGTTTAATTAATAGGACGTAAATTTTTTAATCCAAAATTTAATTTTCGATATCCATTGGATCACATTGGTTCGAATTTTTTGTTTCCCTCAAATCTGAAATTTGAGTTGTATTTGTTCATAGAGAACAGTTATACAATTGGTGTCTTCTGCCTGCATGTGACTGCTGGGTTGCATCAGTCACCATTCTCCCTATAAATAACCCAGTTATATAATCATTTTACATCTAATTCATCTTATACATTCTTAGTCATTTAAGGCAGTCTCAAACAATATTAAAACAGTCTGTATTTGGAGAGTATTGGACGAGTAGATTGAAGTTCTACTTCTACTTGTATGAAGATCATTGTATCTTACAAGACAGACGTTTTATATTTCACAAGTACTATGTGTGGGGACGAAATCTGTTTTAAGGACATTATGTCAAACATTAGCTTTGATGTACATAAAGTTCAATAACAGTTCCTGTTCTACAATCGAGTTAATATTTATATTAGTTTGACAAACAATTAGGCGTAACTGTTTCGTTAAGATTATTGTAACTATTTCGTTAGTCCTTCTGTAACTGTTTCAATTTTCTGTATAATTGTTTCACACTTGATTGTTACTATTTTGTTATACATTACATATTTTAAATCAAAAATTTTAATAAGTGATTTTATTATATTTGAAATATCACAAAGAACAAATTTCAACATGTGGTCTTTGTAACCATTTTCATCTCTATTAACTACTTTACATTTAAGTTTTGAAAAATTATCAATTAAGCACATTAGTAAGTAATTTTTAATCATGTGAGGATCGGTGGGGGTACAGGGGTGGTGGTGTGGGAGTATGGATGACGGTGGCGATGAAGAAATATTACAAATTATGTGCATAACACGAAACGACTATTAGTTGTACTATATATTAAAATAATCAATTTAGGAGAAACGGGAAGTGCTTGAAGAACTTTCTCTCCACAAATCCTATTTTGTCATAATTTTGAATTATTTAAATTCATATGTAATTGAATTTCAACATGTGATTGATGTAACAATTACCAACTTTTTGGTAACCACTTCACATTTTGAAGTTCAGACCTTCTTTATTAATTACTTTGTATTTAATTTTGTTTATAAAATATCAATTTAGTATATTAATAAGTAAATTTTTAATAATGGTATAATAAGTTGAGAGTAGAAGTTGTCTAATTACAAAATAATTGGAGCATACTCCAATTCATAATAGCCTTCTCTCCAATTACAAAATAATTAGAACATCTTTCAATTCATTTTTCATGGGGGAGGATCTATCCACATTAGCAAATTGAATGATCCTTCAATGATTTTGTAAATGGCAAGGGGCCTAACCCATAACAAAGGAATGTTAATAGCAAGGGGGTGTTGTGGAAAAAATATTGAATATTGTTGGTATATCATGTCAATAATATCACGTGATGTAACAATCTATTACCATTTAAATACGTTAGTAAATGGACTTCACTAAAACTCATAACCTTCCACTTATTTTATCTTTTTTGCTCTTTTCTTATAGGATTATACCATGTCAATAATACTGATATATCAATAATAGACGGGCAAATATTTTTAAGGGATTTTAGTGTAATTTGTTAAATATTACAGGTCTGAATGATCAAGTAATAAATTTCAGAGAGTCCAGGCGTAATTTATCGTAACAAATTATAATCAGAGAGAATGACAGACAGAGGAGACAGGCGGCGAAGACGGAGAGGGTGGGTAGTGCTACTGAGCTCATATTATCTGAACCAATTTTTGGCACTTTTTGACTGCTGTGTAGTTCCATTAACGCGCTTCGAGATGAGCAAAAACTCTCTCTGTATCTCTAACCGTCTCTGATCATTCTGTCATCTTCATCTTCTTTGGTAAAGCCCTGATAATCATTGTTCGAAGAATTTTTTCTTTTTCTTCTTGATCATCCTTTCTTTTTGAGAAATTCAGCTAAAAGCAGAGTGATTATGGCGACTCAATCCTCCTCAGCTCCTCCGGCTCCGACGGACAACAAACCCCAAAACCCAGGTGTGACTTTCCGTATTAAATCTTTGGTGCTTTTTTGAAAATTTGACTTTCGACTAAACTATCTCTTTGGATTACGAGAAAGATTTGAAAAAACCTGCATCAATTAATCTAAGTAGTTTACATTAGAAATCGTTGGGCAGAGTTTCGCAAAGGATACAATATATGTAACCCCAATTTTACTTATTCTCGCTTTATATGCGATTTCTCAATGATTAAATGGAGCATTTTGCCTAATTTGCGTTCGTTTCAAGTGGCTTATACATGTCCAACTTGTTTACTATATGGGATTTTTCATTTGATGTAGTTTATGAGTTGGTGGTCTTGAAATTTTGCTACTTTTTAACAGAATCCATAAGTTTATTATTATTCTTTCACCCAAGTTTTGACAGTCATTGAAATAAGAGCACGGAGTTGCATTACCTTTAGCTTAAAAGCAACAATGCTAGACCTAAACTGTGTATAAATGAAAACCTCCAGGAATTGATTGGTTAAATTTTGGTAAAACTTTTAATTTTAGCAATGGGAATGAAATTATGAATTAAAAACCCATAGTCAGTCAAACTCGTGTAATTCCATCCAATTGAGGATTGGAATGAAATAACCACAAATATTTTGCCCTATATCTCAGCTTGGCCTCATAAGCAAAAGTTTTTTCGATGCACTTCCCATGGTTATACTAAAAGAGACACCTGGCAATATGAGAAAGAACAGAGAATTAAGATAATTACTGTTCAAGCTCGAGTGTTGATTATGGGTTCTGTTTTGACTGTTGCATTTGTATTTGCTTGGATTTACTCTCACACTGTTTTTCAGAACTTCAGATTCCTTTTGACCTTGTTTGAGTCTTTAGAGCAAACAATGATTGAAAATAACTATGCTTTTTAGGATGCTTAATTTTACAATTTAACGCGGGCATGACACAACATGAATCCAACAAAAACGATCAATTAGAAAGAATAGTAAATGGGTTGAGTTATTATTGGACATGAATAATAGTGCTTAGTATTGTAAGAAGAAAATGTATGTTTTTTATAAAATTATTTTCTTGATTTAATATTGAATGAATGTGTGTCAAAATGCAATGTTTTTTTTATCAACACAAATATGACACGAACACAATATGAAACCCAAAATGATATAACTTGAAATGTCGCAACATGACCATGACACATCACGACTTAGTTGACATCCTAATAGATTGTCGCTACTAGTAGAAGTTTTCTCATTTTTAATTCATGTTGTTGTTGGTTTTTCTGCATATTATCTAGTTTGGACCAACTTCTATAAAATTACTGTAGCTCCTGTAGCCATATATAGTCACAAGTGAATTGAGGAAGATGGTCCATAGTATGAAATATATTCCTTTAAAGTTACCACTTCCTTTTTTTGCAAAATTTATTCGATTCTTCACCATCTCTGAGAATTAATTTTTTTTTCTTAACGTTAGCTTCAGAGGTTGTACAAACAACACTTGAGGATCAGAAAAATATGGCAGAGGCTACTCAGGTAAATTCTTCCCCGTCTGTGTTTGTGAACTCAGAGCCGATGCGAGAGGATCAAGTGCAAAATGCTGTCAAGTTCCTTTCACACCCAAAAGTGAGGGGGTCTCCAGTCGTTTATAGGCGATCCTTTCTTGAGAGGAAGGGCCTCACCAAGGAGGAGATAGATGAAGCCTTTCGTCGTGTGCCTGTAAGCAAGTTATCCTTTTTTGGTCACATCTCTCTCTCTCTCTCTCTCTCTCCCCCCCCCCCCCCCTCTCTTCCTCTCTTCTGTGTGTACGTTATTTGAACCCAGCATAGAATCATCATCCGAAACATTTTTTGTCCTCAATGTTATCAATAAGTGTAGGGTGTTCAGAAGTATTGAGGTTGACATTTTGTGTAAATGGCAGGATCCAGCCCCGACCATTTCAAATGTGCAACCAGCTGGTACAGATCAAGGTAATAAGCATTTGTGTCAAATTGGGATGTTCTAACTGTGGTTCTACTCCTCGACCCTCACACCAATCATGTTATACCTGCTTTGCAATGTTGATAACAGATGGTCAGATGAAGTCTTCGTCGAATATTCAACCACAAGACCCAAGTCGAAGTCTGCAGCCTGCAGTAGTCGCTCCTCCTGGTGCCATTTCTAAAGTAGGAACCTTGTCCAGATTCCACTGGTCCCATGCTCTTCTTGCTGTAGGATTACTTGCTGTTTCCGGAGCAGGAACAGCTGTACTTTTTAAGGTATTTATGAAGAGGTTCTGTGCTATTATGTTATTTGATCCTATTATTCTGTTTGGACAATGATGTACCTTCAGCATGTTCTGCTTTTGTTGGTGTGTTTTTCATGTGTACAATTCCATACTCAAGTATCCTAATACCATAGAATTTAATCTGTTGTTTTCTTTTGCTTTTCACAAAATTGTCTAAACTCAATCAAACTATCAAATGGAACTTTCCCGTTTCAGAACACTATCATTCCCAGGTTGAAATCATGGATTCGCAAGGTTGCAATGGAAGAAGATGAGGATCCTGTGGAAAAACAAAACTCAAAACCAAGTGTGGCAGAAGAAGCTGCTGCTGCTGCGAAAGCTGCTGCAGCTGCAGCTGCTGATGTGGCACGAGCAAGCCACGAAATGTTGGTTTCAAAAACTGAAGGTAGGTTTATTGGATTTTTGCTTGTTTTATCACTAGGATTCTCGACATTAAGTAACAGAATGTTTTGGTTTTTTTTTTCTAGGTTATTATTGTTTGAATTCTTTACTAAAATGAATGAATGATAACTTTCACACTTCCTCAAACATGGAACCTTCATAATTGATAAGATTTATTTCATCCTTGTCAGAGAAGAGATGCTTCAAGGAACTTATGGATCTTTTAGATGTGCAAGTACGGGAGATGAAGTCAATGAGTCACACCATACAGAAGTTGGAAGGTAAGAGAGAAGTTGCTCTCTGATCATATGTTAGCAAAATTGGTTTCCTTCAAAGTTATATCTGCTCATTGAATTACAGATTGTTGCCTACTCATGCACTGTTTCGTATAATGATGTCCATCATTAAAGGCACGCGTAGTACATCCACATCTTTTTGGTTAGGGAGGAGAATCAGTTTGTCATGGTCTGTCCTGTTTATGCATAACATCTATTGTACATGCTTAGCACACAATACTCTCACATAAAATTCTTTTCTATACATTGTGCTGTTCGATTTGTCCTGTTATCTGCATGAACTGCTGTAGTGAGGATCAAACTAGAAGACAAGCAATGGTAATGGTCTTGCACTGTAATAACTTGGCATATCAGCTACATCTCTCTAACTTAACTGGGAAAAGAATTTTTTCTGTAGATGATACTAATATGAAGAGGAGAAACAAGTTTCCAACAAATTCGACTCAAGGAGGAGACCTCTCTCTTCCCATTCAAAGTATCGGCCGATACCGATACGAATCGGCCAAGTCATAACCGATTCGACACCTGCCGAGACGATTTTATTACACGATACGTATAAACACCGAGTCTTGCCCGACTCAGCCGAGTCATCCGATTTGTATTCGAGTCAATCCTGAGTCGCTGAGTTGTCGTCACCGAATCGACTGATATGATTCCATGACGCTGCGATATGACTTGCATCTTTCGTCATATTCAACATTTCTTGTAGGTCGTATCGCTCAATACCACAACGCGACGCCGCGACCAATGTGTTTCAGATCTCTATGAGTCGATGGCTGATACCGGGACCTTGAACCATATACTTGTCTGTCTATCCCCTTTTTCAACCCCTTTATAGTGTTCACTATGAGTTCAGTAATTATGCTGGACTAACATCACTTCATATCCGTTTTTATTCCTGATACTTTTTCTTCATTTTCTTTCTTATGTTAATATCTTTTGGTAGCAAATTTCTTATGCTATAGTTCTCTTCAATAGCAAAATCTGGATATATTTGAGTAGTCTTTGTATCACGAAATTAACATCCGATTCCATGCTACGCCATAGTGCTTAGCATCACTTCATGCTTGAAGTAATTCCTTAATTCCTCCTCCCCTCTGCGTTTTTGGCTGCTTTGTTTGTGGCCATAATCATGGCAACTGTGTACTGGATGCCATGTTTGAGATGTGTACTTTGGACCATTAGAGGAGGTATGGTGAGTGTCTGAGCAATCTGTTAGTTACCATCTATGAAGCATGGATACTTTGATTGGGGTGACGTATCCTTATCTGATATGAATTGGATATCAGATTGGATACCGATACTCATTTGATACTCGCAGATACGTGTTGCGTATCAAATAATTAATAAAATATTTGTCATTGTTGGTTGCTTGTCGGATACACCTTGGATACGCGTACCTTCAAGGTGGATACATTCTCCTTATAATTAGTGAGGTAGGTTGTATAAAAATCAT